TTTATGCTCTGTTTAGTATATGATACGGGAGAATATGGAGCTCATACTCAAAAAAAGCTAAATTTTATTCAAAATATTTCATAAATAAAATGCATTTCACTCTGTGTTAGAAAGCTGATATTTAAAAACTAGTTTTCTGATCAAAGCTCTGTAGTTTTTATTGTGTGATGATTGAGAGATGTAAACATAAAAGTTCCTCAAAAGCCTGATGAATCATATTTGATACATTTTGACATGACTTTTCCAAAAAAAAAAAGTATGCATGTATAATCAGGTAAATCCATGTTGCTTCAGTCCAGTGCCTGTTCATCTTTAAATGTGGCTAACAATATATTCTTACATTTACTGTGTAAAAATCAGTAAAAATTTGACTTAGAAATATGATACAGAAAGCTTTACGTGAGTGCTTACATCTTAATTATTATTTTCAAAAATATTTATAAAGGGGAAAAAATATGGAAAAGTATTTTTACCCCCACTACCTCAAAAAATACAAATATACTGTATATGCGTTTTAAATGTATTTTTTATTAAATCTGACAAAATGATGGCATCTCCCATCCATGCGATATTATTATGGTAAATGTTATATATAAATCGCAAATTTTTTCACAAATTTGTGGAAATTACCGCCACAAAATCAGTCATTTTGATCGCAAAAATCACAAAAAAAAAATCGTGAAATCCTGGAGGGACTGACATATGCTCTTTGATAAGAACAATCCATACCTGACTTTAGTTGCTGCTCGCCGCCTTGTTTGTCTTTTTGGGGTATCCTCTTCATCATCATCGTCATCGTCATCATCGTCGTCATCATCATCATCCTCCTCTGAGGATTCCTGCTTCCTCTGTTTCCGTCCCTTTTGCGACTGTTGCTTGCCAGAAGATGACTTGGTCTGTGGTCTGGGAAGGGAAGAGCACACACACACACACACACACTTATATAAACATTCAGCATTACTAGGCTTTTTGCCTTTCGTTCTGCATCCCTGGTGTGTTTGCTAGTGTAGCGATTCATTTTCACGCCTACCAGCCTGACTCATGAGCCAATAGCCTTGAGACAGCTGTCCGACAATATAAGCAGTTCTTAAGGCTCATATATTATACGCATTAATCAATTATATTAATCCTCATCCCAGGCATAGGATACAAGCTTTAAGTATCCTAAATTGTTAGAGCAACAATCATATCAGTGCAAACATAGTTATAAATGAGCCCATGTATCATCATTTTAATTTAATAAGACAGCTCAGTTGATAATTCACGATGCGCTGTCTGAAGGCCAGGCTTCGCTACACTCTTACCTTCTAGCAGGGAGTCGTCTGGATCTAACTTTTTTCTCTTCCTGCTCACTCTCTGAACTGCTGGCCTCTTCCTCAACATCCTCTTCGTCATTTGAGTCATCATCTTTCCAGGTATTTCTTTCAACACAGAAATACCACAGGTTCATCTATCGGACCTCTAATAGCTTCAACTGCTACCCGAATGTAAAGCTGCAAGCCACTTATAGAGGGTTTTCGCGACGCGTCATCAATCCGGAAGTCGACCATTTTGGAGGCACTGAAGATAAACAATGCCATTCAACTGACTGGACTCGCAAATTTGGCTGATTATTTCTGCTGAAAAATGATTGAGTTTTGGTCTGTACTAAGCGGTCACATCGGGAAAAAAACGTTTCCTGTTCTAGACTGCCAAAATTTTAAGAGAGGAAACAATGAAATAAATGTTTGTGGTATTAACTATGGCTACATTCACACTGTCAGTCCAAATCCGATTATCTTTGTATCCGATTGGAATCTGATTTCAAAATATGTTTCAGAAATAATACTTTTATGCTCGTCTGGCACTTTGCAACAACAGCATTGTTTCGGTAGCGAATTACAGCATGTTTCGTCTTACAACATCTGGCGTTTACATTTTACATGGCGTGAGAGTCACATACCACCCAAAATACGATCGTTCAGACTGAAGCCGATGTCCTGATATGTGAATAGGATTTCAAAACACATATGGATGTGGCTTGAAATGTGCTTTTTTGGACTGACAATCTGAATGTAGCCTATGTCGGGATAAGAAATAGAAGGAAGAATTGTAGTACGGGCTAGAGAAGCAAGCTTGTTCGGACATTAACCACATATTAACTTTATTTAGTCAAAATTTTGCGCTCTCTCCTGCTTACTAAGTCCTTCTCTATATGATTTCACACCTACCACATGTTTTTCTGTTTTTTTTTTCAGTAGTACATAAACAGTGCAATCCATGCTGTTGTTTACATCCGAGTGCCTCCATAATGGCCGTGCATCCGGGTTACCGCCCAGAACGTGACGTCGGTGAAAACCCTCTATTAGTTCCACTGATAACCCACCGCACAGGCAAGTTAACATGCTAGGAGGGATTCTTCTAGGGCTGGGTATTGTTAGGTATTTCACAATTCGATTCGATTTCAATTCTTGAGGCTTCGATTCGATTCGATTTCGATTCGATTCAATATTGACTTATTAACTTCGATATCGATTCAATAATAAGTAAATACACAAGTAATTAAGTGCCTGAGTATATTTTTTAAGTAATGTGCGCAGTTTTACCAATGTTAAAGAACAAACTGACCCCAGCATGTTTGTTTCCTGTCATGGTTTATTCAGCAGAATAAAAATGTACAATATTGTATGTGTTGAATTCAAACACAACTGTGACAAGCACTGTACAGTGCTTTAACAACACCTCTAAAGTGCAAGTAACTAAGTAGTAGAAAGTATATTTCTTTCTTCCTATACATACAAGTTATAAAAGAAATGTAAACAGAAGCACAAAATGTGCATACTCAAAAAAGAGCAATATTATATTCTAATTATAATTTTGTAAACAATAACACTTAATAGCTGATCACACTTAACAGCAATTGCGAGTTATCAGGCCAATTCTAAGGGGGAAAAAATACTAACCTTTTTCCCTCTCAGAAGTTTATATCTCATAGACTTTATATCATGCATTTCTGACTATATCACGCAATTCTGACTTTATATCATGCATTTCTGACTTTATATCATGCATTTCTGACTTTATAACACCCAATTGCGACTTTATATCACGCAATTGTGACTTTATATCTCGCAATTCTGACTTTATATCTTGCAATTCTGAGAAATAAAGTCAGAATTGCGAGAGGTAAACTCCCAATTGTGAGAAAAAAAAAGTCAGAATTATGAGATAAAAAGTCGCAATTACCTTTTTTATTTTCCATTCTGTGGCGGAAACAAGCTTCCATAGTTCCCGGCTTACAGTGGAATCCAAAATGAGCCCAAAAGTCGGCTTTTAATGTTGGCGGTGCAGGCTTGAATCAGGCTTGAACGGAGTGCTGCTGCTGTCCGTCATCGCGCTGTTTTGCTAAGGGCTAAAGCGCGAGTTGTACAACGCAGAACGCTCTCACTAGAGTGTAGCCCACAGCGCCGCCACTGGCCTGGATGGCTGAATCGATTCATAGGATTTGATGAATCGATATTGAATTGAGAAGAAAAAAATTGCAATGCATTGATGAATCGATATTTTTACCCAGCCCTAGATTCTTCAGTCCATATAGACTAGCATTTAAAAGATTTGGTTATGCTTTTGAAATCTCCAATGCTCACCAATACTAGGGCTATCAATGTAATCGTATCCAAAATAAAAGTTTGTGTTTTCATAATATATGTGGATGCACTGTGTATAATTATTTTGTACGTGTGTGTGTATATATATATATATATATATATGCACACACATGCATGTATATTTAAGAAAAAATATTATTTATATATAAAATATTTATATATAAATCTATACAGTATATACATGAAAATATTTCTTAAATATATACAAACATATGTGTGTATTCATATATACAAAATAATTATACACAGTGCACCCACATACATTATGTAAACACAAACTTTTATTTTGGATGCGATTAATCGCGATTAATTGTTTGACAGCCCTAACCAATACTGCATTTGTTTGGTCAAAAATACAGCAAAATTATGAAAAATATTACAATTTAAAATAACTTTTCTATTTTAATCTTTTTTAATTGTAATTTCGGTGATGAAAAACCTGTATTACTGTATTAATTCAGTGTTACATGATACTTTATCAATTATTTTAATAAGCTGCTTTGGTGCTTTAGTATTTAAGTTGAAAACAGGTGTGCTTTTTTTCGCTCTCATGATTCTTTGATGCATATAATGAATTTATTTGAAATATAAATTTTGTAACATTACAACATCTTCACTGTCATTTCTGATCAATTTAATGCATGAATGAAAGTATTAAAGTAAAAAAAACTATTTTGAATGGTACCGTACTCAGAACTAATGTGTTGCATTTTTTAATAAACTTTTTTTTATTATTAAAAGTTTATATTTACAGGTCTTTTGTAATTTATATACTTGTTATTAGCCAAGCTTAAAATGTATGAGTGGCATTGCACTATATAACAAAATCTCTTAATAATAATCTCAAATGCTTTCGAATATGAACAACGCAAAATGAATATAAACATTGAGCTTAAAATACATTTACATGCATAACTATGGATGAATCTAAATGCTGCATACTGTATGCTTAATATGGAAACAAATATGAGAACAGAAAAAAACAGCAAATCATATATTTTTAAGTAAATTATGGAAAAAGGTGAATGGGAGACCTAATTTAATACTTTTAGTACACTTACTCTTTCTTTTTCTGCCGTGGGCTTTTTCTTTTGGGACTTTCCCCCTCTGAATCACTGCTGCCCTAGAAACCCATGAAAATCCACTTTGAATATATGACACTAGATTAAAAAAGCATGAAAATGTCATGTTTCAGATTCATCAAGGTAACAAACCTTTCAACACACAGGGCATGTTTACACTACTTGGGCTGCCAAGCCTGATCAGTTCTGAGTCCAAGGCCAGACATAAATATTTATGCTTTAGTAAGTATCTATGTCGATGATTACTTTGGTCCAAGAAGCAGAACACGTTGCAAATGTCAACTGAGAATGTGACAGAATGCATGTGACCACTAGGGGTCAGTGTTGAATTAGTTTTTCGTGCACAGCCAGCCTACCTCAGCTCCAATGTTGAGGCGCGCAGGCTCTTGTCTGCTGCGACTGGATCTTCTAACACCGTAAATATCTGGATGTTCCTCCCACATCTATGATAATTAGGAATACAGTTCATTTTAAATGATTAAGTAATTAATCACCAGCTAAATTAAATCAAATGGGAATAATTCAGGATTCCTTAATGTTCAGACTGGCCTATTTTTGTACCTTCTTCACGTCGGCCAGGTTGTCTTTTTTCCTGACTGGTTTGTCTTTGACCTGTGTTGAGTTCTGGCGGGATTTGGACCCAGTGGATTCACTCCCTGACTCAAAGTGGCTCTCGGAATCGGAGGTGCTGTTGGACTCGGAACGCCGGGAACGAGCTCTATCGCTTCCCTGCTCGCTCTCCGACTGACTCCCAGACTCTGATCCAGAGCGGTTAGATTCCTCTGATGCTGAATTGCTATAACATTAAAGATGTTCATGTTGAGAAACAATGAAAACATATCAAGTGGTTCTGAACAGTACAGCAGAAATCATATTCATAGATTTAATCTGGAATCTCAAAACATAATTATTGCAACAACAAAATCTCATTTCATGAATTGTCAATAAGTTTGCAAATAATTAAGTTGGCTTGTGACTAATTTGAACTTTACACTACTTCAAACTAATTTAAACTTCAAACCACTTTAAAATTCAAAGTAATTTAAACTTTAGACTAATTTAAACTACTTTAAATTTCAAACTAATTTAAACTTTAGACTAATTCAAACTTTAAACTACCTCAAGCTAATTTAAACTTAAAACTACTTTAAAATACAAACTAATTTAAACTTCAAATTACTTTAAAATTCAAACTAATTTAAACTATTTTAAATTTCAAACTAATTTAAACTTCTACAAACTTTAAGTCAATTAAAGTTTGTCTCGACAAACCTTTTCTAGTTTTTATTTTAACCTCATTTCAACTTATTTCCTATTTCTAAATCGCTTAATTATCTTACTTAAACATCTGGCTTTTCACAAAAAAAAATTGAAGTGTAATCCAATTATTTCAGTCCAACAACGAAAAGCCAAGTCCTGTAGGCCTAACTGAAACATCTTAAACCATCTGTCTTTGTAAATAATGTTTTTTGGAATTGGATTTGGAAACTGGGGAAAAGAAGCATGGGAACCATTTCTGTAATTAGCTAGAATTAACATCACTTGTTTTTTAAAATATATGTATGCAGCAACACTTTACAAAAAAGTTATCATTTTACACATTAGCATTAGAGCATGAATTAACAATGACCAATATATTTGTCAGTTTATTCTGTTAATGTTTGTTGTTAAATTATTTGTTCATGCATTAATGTTTACCAATCCGACTTTTGATTTTAAAATTGTATTGGTAAATGTTAATACTGTAGAAATATTGTTCATGGTTAATGGTAACTAATGAAACCTTATTGTAAAGTTTTACCATAGAAGCTTTTTTAATGACAAACAGAGCAGACAACACCTGTAGAATTTAAAGATTCGTTTAATTTTTCAAGTGTGATGAGGCATTTGCATACAAACGGGTTTACTAAATTTTAAATAAATTAAAATCGCCATTTCAAAATAACCTTTATGAAATGTGAAAGTATATATTGCATCATCTTGCAGGTCATTTTGTGTCCGACCACTTCTGCTCTCCTTTGAGTCTAAAATTAAACGCAACGAGTTCTGCCTGAAATAAGCCCATCCCCTCTTACTATGAAAGTACTTCTCAAAATAGAGCATTTACATCTTCCTTACAAAGGTTAAATATCATCTTAAGACACTATAATGTGAAATCTACTTTATTCTGCCTTAACAAAAAGTGAAACCTCATGTGAAAGTGTCTCAGTAATACTTATTTAATTTGGCACGATGGCTTTTATGGGAAACTATAATGCAGATCTGAACGCGAGCACTACATTGAGTGCTTTGATGGAATGCGCTGCTAGAAACAACAACCCCCATCATGTCATGTGCTCGAGGAGCGAAACAGCTGCTGACAAGCAGCTTTACCAGCCAGACTGTCCTTATATGGCTAATGACGTCATATCTGGGCGGACCTAACCTCTCAACTGAATTCTCATTGGTTGCCTATTGCTAGCCAAGTGAAGGACCAATGAAAACTCAGCATGAAATCACGACCTCCACAAGACTTCCTGCTTCCGCTTCCTGTAGTTCCCAGAAGCTTTTATGTAATGCAGCAACTAATACAAGCTATGCAGCACAAAGCAAGAGCCATTTTGTGACTTTGAGGGCTTTCAGCCATTTAATGAAACCTGTCTCATACTGTGATGAAACAAAACAGTGCTTTTTATGCGGCACTGAGCCATATGAACACCTCAAATAAAGTATATTGACTATAATATAGGAAAAAATATCACAATTGGTATCCTTTTCAGCTCTTGGTTCTTTAGCAATATTTAGAAAATGGCTGCCACAGCTAAACAACAGTGAAGACATGTTATTGAAGATAATGACTCGATTTAGGCTCTCACGAGCATCTGAAATTATTGGTAACCTGTAAAAGTTAGCATACATGTTCATTTGCAAATTCATGATCACATATACAATATTACATGAAACTGCTGTGTGTAATTGTAAAATGATAACATACATTTGAGAGGGGTTTTCGATTTAGACACTGGTGTCTGGAACATATGCAGGGGCTTCAAAGCCGTCTCATCAATTCAGAGGGAAATTCTTGACAAACAACCACGAAAATAATGACAGACCCAGTCATAAACACTAAACACAACATCAACACATCTGGTGCTATTGATTTGTTTGTTTTTAAGGCTGATATGATGACCACTTTTTAACAGGGTAAAAGCCCCACTGTTGATGTCCTGCTAAAAGTGAAAATATATAGGGTACTTTAAAACTACATTAAAGCTGTGTGGGCCATGTTCAACAATATACTTTTAATGACAATTGATATTAAAGCAATGTGAATGTCAAATATTGATTACAATGTCTACACATTTTGTGAGGCTTTGAAACTGAATAGTGATCATTAAATCTTCCATGTTGTGTTCAATTGTTTTCCTTGATATTTCCCTGGATAAACAAACCATGAACATTTGAAAAAATTTGGCTATGTCCTTTCAATGTCCCCCAATCATTTTGTAATATTTTAAGGAATTGTTAGCCGAAATTATACAATAGGTACACTTTTGAAAAAATAAAAATAAACTGATATGAACCCAATAACATTTGCAACTCATTAGTTCCAGTTTTCATATGGAAATAGAAGTAACTGAGTGAATTAAATAACCATAATAATTTGCTTTGCATTTTCCAATCTTGGTTTGTTGGATAGATGTTATAATGGAACTAGTGCGGTCAAATCGACTAATTGCATCTAACATTAAAATTTCTGCATTTAATTAAATAATTAAATGCAGAAACATTAAATAATATATGTGTGTATACATTTGTACACGTGTATACAATTCTAACATTAAATAATATATGTGTGTATACATTTTATTAATAATACATATATATATATATATATATATATATACACACACACTATACACACACACATTATGTAAACAAAAACTTATTTTAGATGTGATTAATTGATTTGACAGCACTAAATGGAACATGTGGAAAACACAAGTTAAAAAAATATATAAAAATGAAATACATTTTCAAGAAGTGTGAGTTTTGAAATACATAATTGAGTGCTGAGCCAATACTGTATTAATATATACTGTATTGAGGTAATATACCCCATGTCATTAGGAAATTATAAATGTTTGTCAAACAATTAAGACCCTTAAAGCATAGGACACAGATTTTAATTCACACGTCTGACCCCCAAATACGTCTCATTTAAAATCAGAAACCACTATTTTCTTTAATAAAACATTTAAACACATTAAAGTGATTATAAATTTCTGTATTAAGCAACAAAAAACACTTGTACATTAAATAAACAAAAACAATAGTTGTGTTGCTATTAATAATGAAACAAAGACAATAATTCAAATTATGAACATACAAATGTAAAATAATACTCTTCCCTTTGAACAAAATTAAATTGCTTTAAACAATGTATTTGTGTGAAATTAATTTCATTAAAATATTTCAGGAAATCCGATTGAACAGGTTCTGCATACAATAACTGCAACATCAATTTGCATCTATCAAATCAAATCCTAAACTGCCATGTAATGTTAAGTTAAAAATGTTTTAAAATGTCATTAACCTTACATAATGGTGCAATGCAGCACGTACTACAAATCAGACAAGGTCATTTAACAATATCACTTTAAAAATGAAAACATTATCACTTTAATCACTGCTCAAGACTGTACAAAACACTGCATCTTGAGTATAAATTTTGCTAAAGGCCCATAGGCCTTGAATTCACTTTTAGAAATACTAGCAAAATCAGGGTGTGGCAATACATCTATCCCAAGGTCAATGATATGAAACACATTTAAATCTACATACATTGTGGTTTAGACTTTTGCACAGGTGATCAACCATGCTTGTAAAGGTAAACAATCAAGACATGTTAAGAAAAGAGAGGAAAAATATGAAAAGATCGTACCTGGAAGCATTGCTTTGAGTTGAGCCTTCATCCTGCTTTTTACTCTTACTCTTCATCATGATTTTGTCTTGGGATTTGTTAATGATGATCTTTTGTCCAGGTATTAACTGTCAAAAGTTTAAAGCTGGATGAACCATCAAACGGAAAAAAAAAAAAAAAGTCTGTTGCGATACATGGAAAAAGTTGGACTCGGGAAATTGAAAATAAATACATATTTATACTATTTCTAAAGTTAAAAGGCATCGGAATTGAAATGACACCTGCTCGACTCTATTCGATGTCAAATATCCATGTGTCGATGGCATTTCAAGGCAATACATTCACAGAGCCACATGCATAAATTCTTACTGCGTCATCAGACAAAGGACGATTAAAACAGCGATGAAAGCAAATAAATTCATTAATAGAAAAGAAACGATGTAAACATACCTATTGCATTGACAGGAGGAGGATTGTAGTAGTACATTCACATCTGACAAAATATCCGATTTGTTACTTCGGCCATAACAATAAAAAAAAAAAAATCAAAAAGAGTCCAGGATTGAGATTAAAATAATCGGAAAGATATTCGAAAAGAAAAATAATAGCAGTAATCCACCGATGGCTATTTGAATGGAGAGAGAGAGAGAGAGGGAGAGAGAGAGTATGAGAAGAGCCCAGCAGAGCGCACTAAAAATGGAGGACCGCCATGGCTGCCAGTGCAAGGCAGGGAAAACAACGACTGGCCACTCTACGCACACACCACAGCGTTTTTCGACGAAACAAAGTCACAAAACGTACGCCTTAACGTCTTTAAGGTCCAAAACGTACTAAAACGAAGGAATTCGAGCGATTGCGGTGCCCCTAGAGGCACTCAAAGTTCACCAAAGTTGAGATACAAGTGCTATCGAGAGCCCTACGAGGCTCAACGCTCTCCCCTTCCCAAGGTTCATCCGCCATCTAACGCTCCTTCCCAGCTCTGAGAGCTTAGCCTTTGATTGACGTTCTCTCCATTTACACAGGGCTCAGGTGATGCACGAAAGACCCACCCCTTTTTATTTTAAATAAAAACTATCTGTTTTACAGATTAATTAAAACCTCAAGTTAGTGCTAACCTAAAAGTACAGTAGTGGAACGACTTATCAGTTGTTACAAATGGCAGGACATATCTTGATGTTAATAGTTTTATTTCTGTAAGGCTTCACTTCCTGCATAGACAGGAAATGAGACAAGAGACTGCCATTTTGCAGTGAGTGCTGGACTACACTGGACACCATTTTAGACAATTTCATTTTAACCCTTTTACACCTGCTGTGTATTTGTAATGTACTTTGCAAAAGTGATATTTGTAAGAGGGTGGTTGCGTGAATCAAGCTCGCAGGCTGGCAAGTGCGTGATTTTAATTCAACAGGAAATTTGAGGGTGTATCCTTGAATGGAATAGATAAAACTTGAAAATTATTTGCGAAAATTATGGAATGCAACTAAATTAATGTAGCAAAAAATAAAAAAAATAAAAAACAAGCCCCAAAAAAATTGAGGGCAGTTAAAGACATAACTCTTTAAAAATTGAAGAGATCACCTAGCTTGTTAGTAAACAAATCATAGTTCGCAAGTAAATAACATTTTTCTTTTCTTTTTTTTTTTTAAGAAAAGTTGAACCTGAAAAAGCTGTGTTGGACGCTTGGACGTAAACCACAAAACAAATATTTTGCGAAACGTCATTCTTATTTTCCATCCAATAAGAGCAACTCGATACTGTTCAATCACGAAACTTTTTTATTTATATTGTAAAAAGGCAAAAAAAAAAAGCATAATTAAATTTTGAAATACAAGCATTTCATCAAAACAACAATGCAGTAAAATGACATAATACATACATTTGTAAAGCACATTTGCGAATTAATTAAAACATAGCAAATCACAAAACAAAATGTCTCTTTTTTTCCAAATCCAAAAGCAAAATATGAGCCGCCATCTTCATTAAGCTGTAGTCTCCACTTGACTGTCCAGAATTGGTTCTTAATAAAATAAAAAAGGAGAAGGAAAAAAATGTAAACCCCAAATGTTTTTTTTTAAAGCGATGACAGCTTTTCATAAAAACGGTAACGTACAGCTATGGTGTAGCTATGAACATGAAATCAGAATCCTGTTTTAAATGGTTCTCTAACTAGCGACAATGGTCAATCTCAACAAGGTAGCTTCAAATGGTCAATTAGGACAACCTCAACATGAACATGCACAACTTGTCCATATAATAATAGCAGCATAACAACAACAAAATGCATTGTTATTCATTTATTGATGATAAAATGCTAACAGAAGACTGCTATGTAGTTGCCTTGCCGCATATGCGTTTGTATGATTTCTTTATATTCATCTACAAATGTAAGTGCAAGAAACTATTTCACACAAAATTCGGCAAGTGTTAATCACAAAACACTACAAAAACCTTTACTTTCAACTATCAGAAAATCTATAGGCTAATATCACTGTGAAGCTGCTTTGATACAATCTGTATTGCAAAAAGCGCTATATAAATAAATGTGGCTTGACTAGTATCTGGATTTGGCTCACGTATCAGTTCACCAATTGCATTGATACTCAGACAGTAGCTTTACGATAGACCAACAGTTTAAAAATCACAACATATATTACACAACATATGTCTGTCATTAGCTATCATTTATGTGGATGTGCTTTACAAAAGGTAAATTTCTTCCAATAATCATGTTTTTGTTTAATAGTTTTAACTATGACCATTATCGTTAAACGATACAAGAACAAAGTTGTATCCAAGTAATGAGACTACGAAGCTGAAAACCATTTAAATGAATAGGTGAAAAACATGTGAGAACTTATTCAAGTGTGTTCAATAAAGTAAGTGTATTAGAGGGACTAATCGAACTGAAAAGTTGTTCGTCATTAAGGATGTTTAGGCTCCGGAGACGGGTTTTTTTTTTCTAGAATAAATGTAATAATTTAAAATGAAAGTACTATGAAAAGTGTGGCTTAACCACCAAAATGAGAAGAAACACTGCATATTGTCTGTTCACAACAAAAAGTGAAATTTGCATACGGATACTGATATGTATAAGTCGAAATAAGAGAATTTTAACAAAAAGGACACGAGTTGTCCCAAATGTTATAAAGAAAGAAAATCCCAAATTAAAAAAAAAAAAAGAGAAGGTATGAAGTACATTTAATAAAAGTCAGGCTTTAGAAAAATTATGAAAAAGATTTGTAGTCACAAGCTTCCTTCTCAACGGACGTATGGCATTTGCTTACTGAAAATGTCAGTAGCCTTATCCACAAGTTGAGAATTGTTTCCTTATACTATTAAATTAAACGAGATTTAAATGTAAAGGACATGGGCCAATGCACACTTAATGTGCATGTTTAGTCAGTCCTGTCTGGATACCCATCCCAAAATCAAAAGCAGAAAATGTTTTATCCATCCATCATTCTAAATGTCACAAGTAAAATGGAAATGTTGTAGTGTATTCCAGTATTTATGTGGCACAAGCACAGCCAGTGAAAAAGGAGGCCAAATGTAGAACAGAATGAAGAAAGATGTGTAAAACAAGTTACACAAAAGCAGAATAGACTCCACAAGAAAAGAGTCGGAAAAAAATGAATAAAATTTGAGGATTTTTTTTTATTCGTTAAGACGACATGCGCATTAACTTCAATGGAAACATATTTAACAAATAAATCCCTCTATGCAAAAATAAATAAATTAATAGATGATGTGATTGGATAACTGAAATAACCAGGAGATCAGTTTCATCGCACATCTCAAAAGTTGGTTTGGTCATTTTGAAATGCCCGAGCCAAAGTCCGTCATCTGAATCATTTGGTATAATGACCTCCAGAATGTCCTCACATGACTGTGTTCCCAAACATCAGGAATCTGAACGCAAGATATCATGACTTCTCTCGCAAGTCATTTATGACATAGGATAAAAGAGCCACAGTGGCTTCCCCGATTGCACCAATTGCCCAGGAAGTGACTATTTTTGTTCTCGGACACATGGGATGGAATCGCTGCTTTATTGGCAAATGCAAGCGATACTCCAATTTTGTGGACAAAATGGATTAAACGTCGAATGAAAACATAGCCGATGAACTCAAGAAAGTTTTCCACTGAAAACAAGATCAAGTGAAGAGAGCACCCAAGCATGCTCAGGTACTGAAGACAAGGAAATGATGTGTACTGTCAAAGAAAAGTGAGGAAAAAAAAAATAAAAAATTTTCCTAACTGTGACAGGAAGCCCTTCACCCCCCCAAAAAAAACATCCTTGGTACCATTCATTTGAGCTTTGAATTTTTTCTTTACCTTTTATATAGACTGCTGCAATTGTAAATACATTTGATGAAACATTTACCTTGGCAAAAATGCTTTCCTAGAGCTGAGAGCCTAGATTCAGCTAAATGACAGACATATGGAGTAATACCTTAACAATACAAATAACACTAAGGACTTACAGAGTAGTCTTCATTTCCTTGATTTTGCCGCAGTTCCCTCTTCAGGCAAACGTCATCTGCAGGGAGAAGGACAATCGTGAGATCAGAGGTAGAAAACCAAACACGGTCAGTTGAGAACTACATTAGCTGCTCGAGGAAGTGTCACATTGCCCTATGATTAATTCAAGCAAGACATTGTCATCCATTTAGTAGTGTAAATAATTAAGCCTGAACCCTACATTGCCTTCAAAAGATTTTCTATTTTAATTTATCTTCCAAATAGCGTCTACGTTTAAGTTAAAGTCCCTACCATGATTCTATGGTGTTTGAGTGGTTGTTAGTATAGCTATGCAGTTGTTAACTTTTTGTGTATATGTCGACGTGCCATCTTGGAACTGTGATAGCAATGTGATAGCCTTTCAGAGGTGAGAACGTGTTGAGCACCATCCTTCAGATGAGAAGCTAAACCAAGGTCCTGACTCTCTGTGGTCATAAAAATCCCAGGATGTCTTTTGAAAGGAGTAGGGGTGTAACCCATGCATCCTGGCCAAATTTGCCCAGTGGCCGCTGTTCATCATGGCCTCCTTATCCCTATATATACTCATTGGCTTCATCACTCCATCTCCTCTCCACCAATGACGCTTTTCCACTGCATCGGCTCGCTTCACTTTTCCACTGCGTGGTACAACTCAGCACAGCTCGGTTCGCTTTTCGACTGCAGTTAGTACCGCTTTAAAGGGGGTGGGATTATAGACTGATCGTTATAGTTTATCTGCACATCAGAATCAGAACATCCGCACTTCGTCCACTGACCATGATTTCTTTTTTGGAAGTTTTTCTTCTTTAATGAAAGTTAAACAAGTAGTTTTAAAACAGGTGCTACTGTGGTGGCTATTTAAATTGTGGTTAAGGAGATTCCCCCTTCCATGTAAAGCGCTTTGAGTCTTGGGAAAAGCTATATAAAATTAAAAAAATGAATTATTATTATTATTATTAACTCTATATTACAGGTTTTTACTATGGTAACTTTTTAATGTCGTGTAAGCTGACGCCGTCTTGTATTGTGTTTAGCAAAATCATCAGCAGATATAGATATTCAGGCTTAGACATGCGTCTAACTACAGTTGCAGACACGGAGTCAACTTGCCCTCGAGTGTTCGCAGACTGGTTTTGACCGTTACAATATGGTGGACAGCTTACATATAGCAGCCCAAGGAAACAGACGAGGCATCTATGTATATGCATCAATCTTTTGTGTTTTAAATTTGTCCAAGTGAAAATAAGTCTGATCATTTAGAAGGTAATTACAGTTACCCTTGCTTTCATATGATGAACATTACAGTGTTACTCACTGAAATGTAATACTCAATATGAGCCATAACTGTAGAGATGCTTGATTTGGCAATCAGACAAAAAAGTTATCACTAATTAGGCTCTATAACTTTGGGGGCAATGAGGTGACTAACTTAGGCCCCGTCCACACTACCGCATTTTAGTTTAAAAACTGAGACCCTTTGCTATGTTTGCACCTCCCGTCCAGACTAAAACGGGAAAAACGAAGACCTAAAACGGAGAAGTTTAGAAACGCTGCAGCTCCGTTTTGAATCTCTGGAGGGCGTTTTTGTGTGGACGAGACAAAACGTAGGACTTCAGAAACGCTGATGCAGGGGCTCACGCTTGGCTCCATGATTGGGTGTTATCAGTCATGACGCATCCTTCCATGATTCGTCAATCACTGTTTACACCGGCACGCGCATGCCCAGTCGTTTTAATGTGGACGGAGATCATTTCTAATACGCAGATAAAACGCAGGTGTGGATGGAGATCGTATTCGTTTTAATTCTCCGTTTTTTAACGAAAACGCAGTAGTGTGGACGTGGCCGTAGTAGTGGACACCACAGTGAGCAGGAATCGAGGCATGCTGGATAAAATGAAATAGTGTTGGCATGTGTAACAACACTAAACCCAAATCCAACTTGAGCGAAAAACTCTTTAGACGAGAGATTATTATT